GGAGCGCCTACAAGAGCTTACACCGACGACGAAGATGGTTACACCACGAACACTGTTGCATGTCTAACGCGTCGGAAATCCACTGGTCCATACAACTGACCTTTGTCATATTGATGATCGAATTCACTACGGCGAAGCTTTTGAACCAAACAGTCCTTTCGGTAACATTTCCTTGGCTTCATACCAGATTTGGCTCTGAGTTATTATTTTTGCTTTATACTAACTGATTTTGAGCCTGAATTTGTAGGTTTGATGCTTCCCTAAGCAGGAAATTCTAATGAAAATTTCTGCCAAAATGTGCTGGGAAGCAGGGTCGCAAGATTCACATTCATATCGGTCAGCTCAATATAATATTTGCGGGGGGGGGGGCAAAAAAAGGCATTTTGCCCAAGTCGCACTTCGGCCCTTTTTTCTCTGCAGATTTTGTTGTCGTTCACGGAAATTCCTCAGCAAAATATTCCCTAAATGTACCGCTATGAGTGAACGCAGACCCTCCTTCACTGCCCTCACCGTCTTCAGAATATGATGTCATCGTCATCAAGCTCAAGGAGAAGTACCATAGCTGAATACTTCAACCTGAAGCACTACACCACAATTTCGAGAATCGGTTCAATATTGGATAGTTTCCTAAAGACATTGGTTCTCATTATTCAAACCCCTGGCGAATTCGGTTTTCTGAATGTTCGAATGTCATCAGAATAAGACGTCATCCGTCAATGTCGTCGAGCTCAGGGAGGCCTACAGCAACTGCTTCAACCTGAAGATCTTACATAATTTCTTGGATCTGTTCAACATGAGGTAGTTTCCTAGGGACATTAGCTCCAAGCATGCAAACCCCCTGGAAACCCGCCCTTCGGAACCCGTCGTAACGGTTCATGATCCTTCAAGGGCCCCGTTGAGCTCGACCAGTGCACCATGTTTCTGGAGCAAATTTTTTTGATGCCGTCCAAGTGGGTGGCCACTATGAAAATTTTCTTATGACATAAAATGAGCACTTCAGTGCTAAGTTGAGACCATTCGGTTTGAATTGAGCAAAGTCTAATTGAATCCATCTAAATGTGATGAAAATTTCTTTTCTCATGGCCTCCCCCCCTGTATATGCGCACAAGGATTTGCAAAATGTGCTAACAATAATGCTTCATACAAGCGACACGAAGAACTCTCCCGCACAGGAAGGGAAATTATTACATAGGCTGTTCGGGTTTCGAGATGTCATGCATTCTGGAGTATTTTTATACTGATATTTCATTCGAGGCCTAAAGCCCTACATGTCATTGGCAAGCCTATTGTATCTTCTTTCCTTCAGTGTATTTCAGTCTCAATATGGCTTGCTATTTCGGGGTTTTTATAGATTTGAAGTAAAGGTATCAAGACAGCGATTTTGGCAAGTTTACTTCCATGTGCTGGAACTCTGAGGAAGTACTTCGTAGACCGATCGAAATGACACTGAAGGATGGGGCCAAGGAAGCACCAACAAAAGCACAGCACAACATCGGCTCCAACATTTTGTTCTCAATGAATTCCATAGTGAAGGTGAGGAGAGTCATGATTCCGCTGTTAACAACGGCCTTCTAAAGGTTCCCGTAAAAGATGGTCTCGGACCAACTGAACTATAGTTAGCAGTAGGACTGGGAGTGAGTGTATTGAAAAGATTGTGTCTCATGAAGATAATTGGGGATGTGGAAAAGCTGACCAGATGGCTACCGCATGGGCTACCCGCTGCAGCAGCAAAACCGTATCCCTAAGGTGTCGTTTCCACCCATTTTACGTGACGAAAACCACGAGTAATAGGAAAGCATTGCAATCTAAAATGGAAAATGGGCTATTCACGAATACAGCAAGCCATCCCTTCACAAGCTGGACCGCGATGAATCCTCAAAAAGTCATCTAATGGCGAAATTGCAGTAGGTCAATGTTGAGTTGATCATTTGGCCTACACTTCTTGGGAACCGGGTGCATTTGACACAACACAACACCAATGTCTCTCCAGCATACCGGATGCTTTAGAAACGCCAAATTCGTCAACAGAGAGAAATGAAACAACCCTCCTTCATGGTGGCGCTCAGCCATATGTCCCATAAACGGCCTCGCAAAAATTGGACAAACAGGCATACGGAGCTTCGCTCAACACTTCGTACTCACTGGACCTCTCGCTCACCAATAACAGTTTTTCCAACCATCCCGACAGTTTCTTGAGCGAGAAATACACTGCGTCCCATAATTATAACTCCACCCAAGAATTTCCCAAAATCTCACAAATTTGGATGTTTTAGAAAAAGACTCCAATGAGGCAGTGTGATAAATACAGGTATGAAATCGCCTGTAAGCAGCAACTTCCAACTTGAGATCCCAGGAAATTTTTTTAAAAATTTTTATTCAGTAGGCCACTTAGCCGACGTCTCAAAATTATAACTCCACCTCATGTTTTTCTATTATTTTTGACTTCCGTTTCGCCAAACTTTTTTAATGTGCTAGCATCACTTCTCAAGGGGACAGTATGATAGAAAATGCTGTCAGACTTTTTAAAAGGTCAGGCCGTCGCAAAAATTACTAATTAGGCAATCGCGCAAGATTTTGACCAAATTTACGAGGAGCTTGAGAACTTTTTTCAGGGATTTCACATGATATGGAGTTGAGAAGAGCTCCCAAGGATCTCTCCTTGCTTTTCGGTAGAAACAAAGGCCGTGTCACAGAGGAAACATCCATTTTTTATGAAGCCGTGCTCTGCCATTAAATCTTCTTCGGAACTTAATGGCTCAATGGAACAACGTTTTTTGCTTGCGAATAAGTCCCAAGTTGATTCTCAAGTGGAAAATGTAGAAGGCATCATCTGTGGTAAGAAACCATGGCGGAATTCTTGCTGAGTTTTCCGGAAAGGTGCATCCGAGCCGACTGTAGAGGTTCACTCTTACTTGCGCCCGAGGTGCCAAAAAAATTATCTAAGCGTCTGTCTTTCTCTTCGGCATTTTCTTTCTCCTGGTAGTGCTACGCGAAAGGAAAAAGCTACTAAGGATGAGAAAAGCACGAAAAAGAAAAAAAACAAATGCTGAACATATCGCAAAAGTGAACCTTACTCAGTCGGCTCCGTTGCATCTTTCTGTGAAAATTGGCTCAAATTTTTCGGCCATGGTTTCTTACCACAGATGATGCCTTCTACATCTTTCACTTGAGAATCAACTTGGGACTTATTCGCAAGCAAAAAACGTTGTTCCATTGGGCCATTAAGTTCCGAAGAAGATTTAATGGCAGAGCACGGCTTCATAAAAAATGGATGTTTCCTCTGTGACACGGCCTTTGTTTCTACCGAAAAGCAAGGGGAGATCCTTCGGAGCTCTTCTCAACTCCATATCATGTAAAATCCCTGAAAAAATTCTCGAGCTCCTCGTAAGTTTGGTCAAAATCTTGTGCGATTGCCTAATTGGTAGTTTTTGCGACGGCCTGACCTTTTAAACAGTCTGACAGCATTTTCTATCATACTGTCCCGAGAAGTAGGATGCTAGCACATTAAAAAAGTTTGGCGAAACGGAAGTGAAAAATAATAGAAAAACATGAGGTGGAGTTATAATTTTGGGACGTTGGCCAAGTGGCCTTCTGAACAAAAATTATTCGAAAAATTTCCTGGGATCTCAAGTTGGAAGTTGATGTTTATAGGCAATTTCGTACCTGTATTTGTCACACTGCCATATTGGAGTCTTTTTCTAAAACATCTAAATTTGTGAGATTTTGGGAAATTCTTGGGTGGAGTTATAATTATGGGACGCAGTGTACTTCAGTGTTCAAAGTGATCTAGAAGCTACGTTCGATGATTTCATCGCCTACAGAAGCGCTCATTGTCTCAAGAGCGGGACACTTGAGTGTGCATCTTGTTAAGAAAAATGTTTAGTTTTGAATAGTTTTTGTTACGATCGAAAATGTTGAATTTGAGTGGAGATATGCTTCTTCAAAAATAGAGGGTGAAAACCCGCATTACTTTCCGAACAACCTAATAGATCTAAAGTGAATATTTAGCACACTTTTGCCTTTTACAACCATTTGCCACAAGCTCAAGCACATAAAATAGTTTTTAGGTCAACGTATTCGACTTTAAGACAATGGAAGATCTGTTGTGGAAACCGGGACTGGAATGTAAATGAAGGTGTCAGCACGTGGTGTTGTTGTGCAATGCAACTAAGCGTTGGAACAATATTAATCATTGTGCCTTTCAACCTGTTCAAACAAACACTCAAGGTAGGTTTTTGAAGCATAGTGGCCAAAGCGGTACAAAGACCTACGCTGACTAATCGCTTCTTTGCTAATTCATGTCGCTGATTCTTTTTTTTTCTCTTAGACTACCATTCAGCATTAGACTTGGATGAGCTCAATCTTGGTTGTCCGCTCTGTTTATGTGCTTATCCGTATTCTAATGCTTCCACAATCACAATTTGAAGTCGGATGCATGGCGCATCTTCCAGTCTGCTTACATTCCGAAGCACTGCATGAGATCAACTTATTCTCCGTCCTCCGAACTGTATTTTGGACTGAACAACGAGTAGTTATCCTGAGCCACAATAAAAACACCCCCACTGTTTACAGTGCTTCATAAAAACAGAATAATAACAGTGTAATAGTACAGATAATAGTACAAGTGTGAGATCTTTGATGTGGAGCGATACCGTGCTGTTTGGCCTCCATTCTCGTTCTAATTTTGTTGTTTACTATGTCTCATTTTTAGAGCAGCGAAATCAGTCGTATAGTGCAAAGTGTAGGATCAAAGTCCATCAGGTGTATTGTTGCAACGACGGCACGAGGGAAACTTGTTGACGAATATTTGGCCCCGCCCACATTTGAAAGTTCACTTGGCGTTGTATAAATAGGCGCATCGGGGACATGTTTTCGTCGACGAATCGTTTGCCTTTTGATTATGCTCTGCAAACAGCTGATAGCCGTGTGATTCCGTGCGTGTGTATCATCTGATCTAGGATTCAGTTGTGAGTTTCAGAATCTTCTGCCACACTGACAAAATGTCTTGGTTAAATCCCCGTCTGGCTGCTACTCAAGTGAACAAATTGAGCAAATCGGTCAATCCGTTCATGACTGCCGAAAAGTGAGTTTCATCAAATTATCCACCAAGTAGCCATAAGAGGCTATCATATCCTCCGTTCCAGAGCTGAAAGCACCATACCTACTGAGAATCAGAAGCATCTCAGTGAAAGGAAAGACTCTCGTGAAGATGTCCATTCGATTTCTTCGATTTTCGGATTGGACTGGATCCGAAAAACATCTTCTGAAGCCAGGTTCGTAGCTTCTAATTTTCTCTATGAATAGTAGTATACTTTAGAATCCAAAGTGGCGCGATTTAAACGATTTTGTGTTATGCCCGAAGTCTGGCGTGGTTGTGTGTATTATAATTATGGTCGACATCTGGCGATTAAGAATGACCCGACTTCTGCCACCTGATTTCCGGAATTTCAACGACCTGATATCTGCTTGTTTTCGAGAGCTTTCAAGCGTAGATTTTGCCGATTCATGTCCACATGGCCCTTATGCCGATCAGCTGTTGCATAAATTATTTGTTGAAATGAGCGGGGCTGCTGACCATGCCACCGTTACACAGTCAGTTGCCGTTGGAAACTGGCACAGAAGCGGCCTCAAAAATAAGTTGTTGTCGACTTCTCTCACTGAAACAACTGTCTTGAATTCCAGAAAGTCGGATCAGACGTTGATCGAAAACGTTCGAGTGCTCATGGAAGAAGAACGAGATCGTCAAATAGAATTCGAGAGGATGTGCCGTCTTAACTACTAATTTCAAAACCCGATCCTCATGGATGGGCGGGTGAATGACCATGGACACCGAGATTGGGGAGTGTAGCTCTCTGTTATGCCTCATAGTATTCTAATCAGTAGGGCTGGCAATCTTTGATCCACTAAAACGAATACTTTTCGGAATTTTTGCAATTCAAAAATTTTCGCTCAAGAGCCATGCGGGGCTGGATCTTTGCAAACCCCTCACTTTGTTGTGTGGATTTTGTTCTAAGATCTACGTCACTTATAAGGAGCGCAGGGCCCCTTCATTTTGCCATATTACTGTTACCGTTGTGATTGAATTACGCTTGAAAAAATTTCAGTGTCCATCTAACTCACAAAACGCCCCATTTTTGTACACATTATTTTAATGTTTCAGTAGACTCATGAAAACAAAAATGTCTTTTAGAAAATATACTTCATCAATTTTGCACTATTTGTGATCCATTTGTTTCTGTTATCTAGTACATCAGACGAGTTGATTCGCTGAACCGTTTTCCATTTGTACAAAGCCAGATGAAGTCTGATCCGGACAGATGTTTTTTATTTATCATTTAACTGGTATTCATTTCATTGTATTTGTATGATCACTCGCTCATTTTATTCATGTGTTTGTAATGAACAGTCGACAGTAGAGCTCATGAACAGTCTCTGGAGCTTCATATACCTTTATTTTGAAGTAATAAACGTCTAGCTTCAGTTTAAAGACAACATATGCACCCTAAATTTCACACGGCTTTCTGGAAATTAAAACTTCTAAACTTTACTTGGTACATGTGTGCTCAAGAATGTGTGTTTCCAATCCAAAACGACTAAACAAGTCTGCCTGGAGAAGAAATCGGAGCACATTTGGTTGGCTGGGGTTATACGCGGCCCATCCATTGCCTTTAACTTCTTACCGTAAAATCGCTACCACTTATAAACGATCGCAATTAAAAATCCTCTTTGAAACAAAGGCTCCTGTGTTGGTACGTTCACTCGTGCAACAACGCCACAAATCGGTCTGAGGTAAAATGCAGGGGAATTATGAGCCACAATCTGTGGAGGTGCCGCGGGGATCACCGGCTCCTCTTGCAGATGCCAGCCGAGTATTGTATATTGTGATCGATGCCTTCGATTCCGTTTCAACACTATCATAGAGAGATTCCTCTAGAGTGGGGTTGCCATCATTGCCGCAGGACTTCGCGTCCCTGAAACATCGTGGTGGTGTCCAAACCAGGCATCGTTCGCATATCCATATTGCACCTGATATAAGAAATCATATGACACTATATAGACCACCATCGTCAATTTTTTTGGGGACTTTGGCACCCAATCTAGGGACACAGGCACCCAATCTGCACCTTCTGGATTACCTTCGCTATGCACAGGAACTTTTCGGACTGTCCCTTTAGAATGGCGCCAACAATGCCCTATCGCTCTGTTGACCTCTGTCTGCTATGTTTATGAGAAGTTAAGGTAACCGCTCCCACGATATTCCGACCTTTGTACTGTTTACTGAATGGTGACGTGTTAGCGAAGATTATACCCATAAATAAATGGCGCGAAGTAGCCAGACATCGGCCCATAAGCTCACCATCAGGTGGTGCGGACAAGTCTACTAATGGAAGAGTGATGGCGAAGAAATAGGTCGACAGATTTCCGAAGTTATCAGGACTGTGAAATCGTCACATAAATGCAAAATGCAGTGTACCATAAAGTGGGTCTGCAAAGCAAAAGGTATGCACCCGTGGAGCGTTGGCCAGTCAGCGAAAGTGGGTTGGGATCGCGCTCGATTCCTGTCTAACAAGTGCATCCCAATACAGGCAGACGCGTTTACTATATATGTAGTCAGTGTGTAGTGCCGTCTTTACATTCTTAGAGGTATTCTAACCCAGACGGATAGAGTGAGGGTCTCATTGCTAAGGTTTTGGCGGCTTTGTCCAAATTCCTAAACTTTGCCACACTGCTTGGCACCACTGCTTTCATACTTGATCAACATCGAATCATCGTACCCAGTGCCCTAGGTATCAGGGCTGTGACCAACGTTGTATACCAGGAGCCCGGTTTCAGTTGGAAGTGTCTGTTAAATCAATGGCAAGAGATGTACAGCACTGGAAGCGTTCGTAAATTACCCGATTTAGATCTTTGTTGCGTTTATTGACTGCAGACGGGTTTCGCAGTTTACACGCAACTCATGTTCTGCGATATGATAAAATATTCGCAATCTTTGAACAACTGCGGTCGACGATAGAAAGATTGTACCCATAAAGACAATCGGCGACGAAAGTAGGCCAGACAGCGGCCCTATAAGCTCACCATCAGGTGGTTGGCGGACAAGTCTACTAATGGAAAGAGGGATGCGCGAAGAAATGAGATGTCGACAGATTTTCCGAACTTGATCAGGACTGCTGAAATCCGTTCACAGTAAATGCAACAATTGCAGTGTTCACCATAAAGTGGGTCTACAAAAGCAAAAGGTATTGCACCGTGGAGCGTTGGCCATCAGCAAAGTGGGGTTGGGATCGCGCTCGATTCGTGGTCTAAACAAGGCATCCCAATACAGGCAAGACGCGTTACTATATATAGTCAGTGTGTAGTGCGGGCTTTACATTCTTAGGGGTATTCTAACCCAGACGGATCAGAGTGAGGGCCTCATTGCTAAGGTTTTGGTGGCTTTGTCCAAATTCCTAAACTTTGCCACACTGCTTGGCATCACTGCTTTCATACTTGATCAACATCGAATCATCGTACCCAGTGCCCTAGGTATCAGGGCTGTGACCAACGTTGTAAACCAGGAGCCCGGTTTCAGTTGGAAGTGTCTGTTAGATCAATGGCAAGAGATGTACAGCACTGGAAGCGTTCGTAAATTACCCGATTTAGATCTTTGTTGCGTTTACTGACTGCAGACGGGTTTCGCAGTTTACACGCAACTCATGTTCTGCGATATGATAAAGTATTCGCAATCTTTGAACAGCTGCGGTCGACGATAGACATTGCTCTACTGATAGGGAAGAGAGCTCGTTTGCGGACTGCTGCAAATTCCTTATCGGTTTCTTCAGTGCGGTAGTCGTGTATTAACGAAGTGTGAAACCTCACAATATAAAGGCTCACAAGAACTGGAAAAACGTGGTCCTGGTATGTAAACGTGGAGCAGATTTCTCACCAATAGTAGTTCACCTACCTATTTATGGTAAGGGGTATAGAATGACTTTGACTGAGGAGATTACAGACATGGCTGAGGGAATCATATTTATTGGGCAATCTTCTAAGCAGCCAGTAATAACCAATGATGCTATAATGCTACCAATTTTGAACAAAATTTTTGATGAGGATACGTTGCGCTGTTCCATCAGGTCGTTCCGAAGCAAAGCAGTTAAGGCGGCCAATGCAGAAGTTTCTTGACACTGCGACTGATCGTTCAGGCTAGTTTTTATCATAGCTATTTACATTATGTTGTTTTTTTGTGTATCTTTACGAGTTCTCGTCACCAGTCGGTGCTTTCCGTGGTTTTGGTTTTTCTTTGGTACTGTTGAATACACGCAGAATCACTGCATCCAGAAATTAAATAAAGAAATAAATGGGTGAAATTTTGCATCAAATCTGCAGACAAGTGTAGCCACTGAAGCTGTGGATCAAAATGCAGCGTATTTTCACCCCGACCGGACGTGATAAGCCTAGTCTTTCCTGATTCCAACCCTGAAAACTCTTGCTCAAATTCCGTTGTTTTCGAACAGTTCATCAAGTGATTGACAGTACCTTGAAAATGATTGTATGGATTGGATTAAAACAAGGCCACGCAATCGATTTCCATTCACGACCATAAAATAGTTTCTCAGTGCATATCCTTTCTAAACAATTATCTAGCGGAGTAAACCGATGGTGAGGCTGAGGGTTCCACATTCTAAATTAGCCTGATACTGATTATCCTACACAGGAAAGCCAGATTTCTTGACTGATCCAAGTGAGATTCGGACTGTCAATTGATCTCCGGACGTGGTGATGACTACTTGTCAACATACCGCCTTTGTTTACAATATTCGATATTTTTGTGTTATTGTTCTGTATTGAAAGATACATATTTTTATATAGCTATGATGTTTTCTATATTGTGAGAAGGTAGAACGATGTCATCTGTTGTTTATCAGATACGAGCGAACACTGATGTGTTATTATTCTTATATCGTTGCTGACGAAAACACCTGCCAGCGCGTGTGCGACAGGAGAAAGACCATTATGCAAACGTGATGATACTAACTGTGTACCAGTTTTCAGCACAGGGTTGTTCTTAGTGGAAGCTACGAATATGCTCAGGACCTTTGGGCTAATGAATCCCAGTATTATTCTTCAAAACAACAATTCTAGATCAACTGGTGGGGTAACAGCAGATAATGAAATTGTTGACGCCGAAAAGAATGAAAATGAAAAAAAGCTAGGCGAGCGACCACTGACGAAGCTCATGAACGAGGACCCTCTCCTTCATTCTTGATTTGAGAGAAAGGCTTGTTATACGAGTAGTCATAGTCGCTTGCCCATGGCTGCAATAACCCGCACGCATACGAATTAGCCGTTAATTGTAAAAGGTTTTAATTAGCTGCTACTTTTTCTATTATATAATTATTATGACGAAATGCACTTTGCGTGTCATGGAGAGCGCGGGGTATCTCGTCCGTGGTTCACATTAGTCGCCATCAGATCGTTTTGTCAGTTCCTAGCGCCATTGTCGCGCACTTCCAAGCCACGACAACACTGTCATGACCGGGTGCCGACTAAAGTGCACATCGGGGTTCCCACACCTGAGCCACGCCAGAACGTGGGAGTCGTCGGTGCCCGCCCACACACCCTCGCAGGGTACACCTGCCGCGCCGAATGCTCTACGGTGCCTTGCCACGGGCTACGAAAGGCCTTACCTCCGGTGAACTACGGCTTATGTGTAACTACATTATGCTATGCCTGAGAGCAAATAAATGTGGTTGGGGATAGGGCGGTATATACGCGCTCTGAAACGGCAAATGTTTTTCC